CTTAAGATTTTAAAGTGTATGTTGTCATTTTAAGATGATCTTACTGTAATCAGCAAATCTTCTTGGTAAGTATAGTAAGAGCTAAGTATACTAAACAAGGCAAGACATTCTTGGTTTTATAAATATCTGCTGCTGCTGTAATTACATTTTGTGGTCTGTAGTAGGTTCATTAAAATTACTCTTATTTATTTGTTTTATGGCCTTTATATGTATCTGAATTGTATTAAGCTTTTCCAATTACCTCTTCAATATCCAATAGTGTAAAAAAAATCAGTTTATGGAAGGACAGGACACATTGGATTCTGAAATGCTCCTGAGAGGTGAATATTCATTTTCTTAAGAAAGTTCATAAACTCAGTGTTTAAGGAGACAACCAACTTAAGATGAGTGAATTACACAAACATCTGGGAGATATTCATAGGCAACACTAGATAAAAAGAAAAGGAAAATGACAGATGGGAGGCAGGATTCAGGACTGTTAAGTTCATTTCATTGCTAAAGTAAATTTCAGTTTTATTTGACTATGCACAGTTAAAGTGACACAGAACACCATATAAAAGATTTCAGGATTGGCGAGGCAAAAGTAAGAGATATTCCTAAAGTCGTATTTCATATAGTCATATCTTGTCCTTGATCTGTTCTGTCCATTTGGCATCGAAATATTTTCTCCTCTCTATCCAATCTCTAATAACTAATGTCTCTGGTGTTTGTGCAATAAAACAACAAGGGATGGATGATGCAAAAGGAGGTGGCTGATAGACCTGATAAATGCAGCTATCCTATAGCCATCCAGTCTTGTGACTCTAAGAGGGCTCCCTTTTCAAACACAGAGTTGGCTGAAGTAAATAGTCAGCTTCTGTCCTCTTCCATCCAACACCTTGTATAAAGAAACCTATCTTTATAGACCAGAAAAAGTTTAAAAATTACTCATTTTTTGACTACCCTTTTAGCTGTACTACACTATACCATCTCTATCAAATGGCAGTAACTCCTGTTTAAAGCATTGCTTATCCTGCCAAAGTTACTTTTTCCAATAATAACTATGAATTACAGGAAGTTTTTCATTCTACAAATATTTTCTATTATGCCTCTTATGGTGTGCTAAGCATTGATTTTTATTTAATAAATACCCAATAATTACAAAGAATGTCAGTTGAGAATTTCAGGTAGTGGTTGGTTTGGTTCTTGAAAAAGTCAGTTTAAACCCTCCAGAGTTTAACTTAGTGTGTTTTGTAGAGATGGGATCTTGCTGTGTTGCCCAGGTTTACCTGGCACTCCTAGCCTGAAGTGATCCTCCCACTTTGGCCTCCCAAAGTTTAAGTTTAATGGAATTACAGGTTTAAGCCATTGTAACAGGCTTGCCTTTTTTTTTTTTTTTTTTTTTTGGAGAAAGAATCTTGCTCTATCACTCAGGCTGGAGTGTGGTGGCATGATCTCAGGTCACTGAAACCTACACCTCCTGGGTTCAAGCAATTCTTCTGCCTCAGCCTCCCGAGTAGCTCGGATTACTGGCACCTACCACCACACCCAGCTAATTTTTGTCTTTTTACTAGACACGGGGTTTCACAATTTGGCCAGACTGGTCTCAAACGCCCGACTTCAGGTAATCCGTCCAGTTGCAGCCTCCCAAAATGCTGCAATCCTGGCTCACTGCAACCCCTGCTCCTGGGTTCAAGCAATTCTCCTGCCTCAGCCTCCCAAGTAGCTGGGATTACAGGCACTTGCCACCATGCCTAGCTAGTTTTCATACTTTTAGTAAAGATGGGGTTTCACCATCTTGGCCAGGCTGGTGGAACTCCTGACCTCAGGTGATCTATCCGCCTCAGCCTCCCAAAGTGCTGGGATGATAGGCATGAGCCACTGCCCAGCCTACTTCTATTATTACATTGTAATACATAATAAAATATTTACATAACTCACCATAATGGAGAATCAGTGGGAGCCCTGAACTTGTTTTCCTGAAATTAGATGGTCTTTTCTGGGGGTCATGGAATGACAGATTATCAGGCATTAGATTCTCATGAGGAGCATACAGCCTAGCTCCCTTGCATGTACTGTTTTACAGTAGGGTTTGCACTCCTCTGAGAATCTAACACTGCCACCAATCCGACAGGAGGTGGAGCTCAGGCAATGATGCCAACAATAAGGAGTGGCTGTAAATGAAGATGAAGCCTCACTTGCCTCACTGCTCACCTACTGTGCTGCCTGCCCAGTTCCTAACAGGAGAGCCGGGCGCAGTGGCTCACACTTGTAATCCCAGCACTTTGGGAGACTGAGGCGGGCAGATCACCTGAGATCCGGAGTTCGAGATCAACCTTACCAACATGGAGACACCCTGTCTCTACTAAAAATAAGAAAATTAGCCTGGCATGGTGGCTCATACCTGTAATCCCAGCTACTTGGGAGTCTGAGGCAGGAAAGTTGATTGAATCTGGGAGGCGGAGGTTGCAGTGAGTCAAGATCATGCCATTGCATTCCAGCCTGAGCAACAAGAATGAAACTCCATCTGAAAAGAGAGAAAAAAAAAGCCGGGCTTGATGGCTTACACTTGTAATCCCAGTACTTTGGGAGGCAGAGGCCGGTAAATCACCTGAAGTAAGGAGTTCAGGACCAGCCTGACCAACATGATGAAACCCTGTCTCTACTAAAAATACAAAAATTACAAAATGTGGTGATACATGCCTGTAATCCCAGCTATTCAGGAGGCCAAGGCAGGAGAACTGCTTGAACCTTGGAAGTGGGGGTTGCATTGACCCAAGATTGCACCACTGCACAGAGTGAGGCTGTCTCAAAAAAAAAAAAACAAACAAAAAAGCCACAGCCTGGTACTGATCCATGGCCAGGAGGGTTGGGGACCCCAGCTGTAGACAATATGTAATGATCAAATCAGGGTAACTGAGACAGTCATCACCTCAAATATTTATCTTTTTGGGAATACGACAATCCTTCTCTTCTAGCTATCTTGAAATATACCAATAAATTCTCATTCACTGTAATTTCCCTTGTGTACTATTGATTACCATAACTTATTCCTTCTATCTAGGCCTTCTTGTCTTTCATTTGTTCTTTTTTCAACTATTTTTATTTTTAAGACAGAGTCTCACTCTTTCTGCCAGGCTAGAGTGCAGTAGCACGATCTTGACTCACTGCAACCTCCATCTCCTGGGTGCAGGCAATTTTCCTGCCTCAACCTCCTGAGTGGCTGGGATTACAGGCGCGTACCACCATTCCTAGCTAATTTTTATATTTTTAGTAGAGATGGGGTTTCACCATGTTGTCCAGGTAGGTCTCGAACTCCTGACCTCAAGCAATACACACACCTCAGCCCCCACAAAGTGCTGGGATTACAGACATGAGCCACCATACCCGGCCATTCATTCTTACATTCATTCATTCAACTAATAACTACTGCCTGCTTACCATATACCCAGCAGTGTTCTAGGCTCTGGGGAAACAGCAACAAGCAAAACAGTTTCTGCTCTCTTAATGGATGCATCATTCTAATGAGGGGGAAAGAGACAGGTGATCCATAAACAAACCAGTAACAGAGACAGCACATCGGGTGGAAAGCGCTATGAAGAATAAATACTAAAGCAAGTGTGGCCAGGTGCCATGGCTCACACCTGTAATCCCAGCACTTTGGGAGACGAAGGTGGATGGATCCCTTGAGGTTAGGAGTTCAAGACCAGCCTGGCCAACATGGTGAAATGCCATCTCTACTAAACCTACCAAGAAAAAAAAAATTTGCCAGGTGCGGTGGCACCTGCCTGTAATCCTAGCTACTCAGGAGGCTGAGGTGGGAGTATTGCTTGAACTTGTGAGGTGGAGGTTGCAGTGAGCCGAGATTGCGCAACTGCACTCCAACGTGGGAAACACAGCAAGACTCTCCCTCAAGAAAAAAAAAGAAAAGGAGAAAGGAAAGGAAAAGAGAAAGGAAAGGAAAGGAAAAGCAGGTGTGGGTGTAAGGCACACTAGCGTGAGCAGGGTTACAATGATGGTAGTGGTTAAGGTAATCAGGGAAGGCTTCTCTGTAAATGTGATAGAAGTGAGGGATGAGCCCTGGGGACCCCTGGGGAGAGATTTCCAACAGTGGGAACAGCAGGTGCAAAGGCCCTGGGGACAGAATGTGCTGCGGGGGATCAGGGAACATCACAGAGACTCTGGAGGCTGGAGTGAAGCCAGGAGATGACGATGGGAGATGGGGATGATGGATACCAGAGCAAGGTGACAGGGATCTTGCCAGGGATCATCACGACTTGGGTTTTGACTCTGAGGGAAATGGGGAGATGACCTGAGGTCAGGAGCTCGAGATGAGCCTGGCCAACATGGTGAAACACTGTCTCTACTAAAAATATAAAAATTAGCCAGGTGTGGTGGCACACACCTATAATCCCAGCTACTCAGGAGGCTGAGGCAGGAGAATTTCTTCAATGTGGGAGGGGGAGGTTGCAGTGAGCCAAGATTGCACCACTGCACTCCAGCCTGTGCAACAGAGTGAGACTCCATCACACACACACACACACACACACACACACACACACACAAGCACACAAGTGGAGGGCTGGATTTTGCCTGGGAGTCACAGTTTGTGAGCTCCCGCCCAAGCCATAGCTCCAGATGCATATATCCTGTGTCTTGGACATCTCTGTCCAGACCCTTTGGTGAGGCCCAGAGAGGGGAAGCAATTAGATCAAGTCACCCAGCAAGGCAGGGCAGAGTAAGACAGGAGTCCAGTCATCTCACTCTCAGTTGTCAGAGAGACCCTCACAGCCAATTTCTACCACAAATCCCTGCCTCTCTCTGTGTCTATTTCTATTTCTTGATTACTGATTATTTATTGAGCTCCTACCATGTGCCTGACCCTGAGCTGAGCTGTTCTTCTCCCCAACTTCCCTGACCAATTCCCCCATTTCTCCATCATACTGCCCATGATGAGTCAGGAACCAAATGACCCCCAACTTCAATGCCTCCCCCTCCCAAAAAGACCCAGAGACTCTCACCTGCTCCCCAATTGAAGTGTGGACTCCTGCAGGGAAGCTGTCCACATCTGGCCACAGGGCACAGGCCTCCAGGACTTTCTCCAGCTGGGCTGGGTCCAGCTGCTGCCCGAAGCACACGTTCTCCACCACAGAGGTGTTCTGCACCCAGGCCTCCTGGGACATGTAAACCACCGAACCTTAAAACACAATTTACCCAGGTCACAGGAGGACGATGTGGACAGAGGTAGGATAGACTTTGAGGAGCAGTGGGAGCCAGGCTCTCAGTGGTAGGTGGGTGGTGGAGAGAATGAATGAAAGTGAGCTTGGCTGGGATGGGGAGGGGTGGAAAGGCAGCGAGGAAGGGGGACTTTCAGGATGATGGGGACATCCTAGCAGACAGGCAGGGGGTGGCCTCACTTTGATGCTCATGAACCCTCCACCTTTGACAGCTCCCCAAAGAGGAAGGACAGCAGGGAGGATTTCCATGTTCCCCACTGGACCGACTACAGCCAGGAAACAGCCCTGGGGCATGGTGAGGTTTATTCTTTCAATACAAGAAAGGAGACATGACCTTGGTTAGGGCCCAGCCTCCATCTTTGAGGGTGAGCCTCAGATGGAGCTGAGCTTTCCTGCTCCAGGAGTCTAAGAGCACTTGTGGGGCTGTTCTTTTCCCAGTCCTTGTCTGGCTATTTGAGCAACCATCCTGTGCACATCTGTGCATGTGCGCACTCATGCACACACACAAAGTGTGCACACATGCATGCACATTTGCACACTCATACAAGCATGCTAACATGCACAGCAACACACACAACGTGGGCACACATCCACACACACAAGCGCATGCACATACACAAGCAATCCATGCTCACATGCATACATGTGTGCACACACACCATGCACACACATGCATGCATGTCCACCCATGTGCACACAGAGTTGGCTGCCATCTGAGGGTTTCACCAGCCTAGCCTCCTACCTTGGCTCTTGCAATAAATAGGCTCTTTCCTCCCCTCCCTGCCCCTGCTCTTGGTCCCGCCCCACTCCTGTCCATGTCCCACAGCCCATCCTCCACCCTGTGACCAGAGGGATTTGTTAAAACCCAAGTGGGCAGTGGCTCACGCCTGTAATCCCAGCACTTTGGTAGGCTGTGGTGAGCGGATCACCTGAGGTTGGGAGTCCAGGACCAGTCTGACCAATATGGAGAAACTTCTTCTCTACTATAAATACAAAAGTTAGCTGGGCATGGTGGCGGGATTACATGCCTGTAATCCCAGCTACTTGGGAGGCTGAGGCAAGGGAATTGCTTGAACCGGGAGGTGGAGGTTCCAGTCAGCTGAGATCACACTACTTCACTCCAGCCTGGCAACAGAGCAAGACTCCATCTCAAAAAACAAACAAACAAAAAACCCAAGTCAGCTCTTAACACTTCCCAGCTAAACCCGTCAGCACTCCCATTTCACTCAGGGTCAAAGCCTAAGCCCTGATGATCATGAACGACGTCCCAGCTCCATCCACTCTGTGCCTCAGCTGCTCTTTCTTGGCCACGCTGACCTCCTTGCTGTTTCTTGAACACAATAGGTCAATGGTTCTCAACTGGGGATGACTGCATCCCTCAAGAGTCATTTGGCAAGATGAGATACTTTTTGATGTCACAACTGGTAGGGGGTGCTGCTGGCATCTAGTGGTAGAGACTGGGGGTCTGCTAAACATCCCACAATGCACAGGACAGAACCGAACAATGAAGATTCAGCCCAAAATATCAACCATGCTAAGGCTGGAAAACCCAAGTCCAGGCATACTCCTGACCCAGGACCTTTGCATATGCCATTCCTACTGCCTAGAAGGCTCTTCTCCCATGCCAGGCATGGTGGTTCATGCCTGTAATCCCAGCACTTTGGGAGATGAGGCAGATGGATCACTTGAGATTGGGAGTTGGAGACCAGCACGGCCAACATAGTGAAACCCCGTCTCTACTCAAAATACAAAAGTGAGCTGGGTGTGGTAGTGTGTGCCTGTAATCCCAGATACTTGGAAGCCTGAGGCAAGAGAATCACTTGAACCAAGGAGGTGGAAGTTGCAGTGAGCTGAGATTCTGCACCCCAGCCTGGGAGGTGGAGGTTGACAGAGCAAGACTCTGTTTCCAAAAAACAAACAAACAAAAACTCTTTTTCCCAGACACCTGCACAGCTCACTGTCTTTCCTTATGATCTCAGCTTGAATATCAAGCCTTTCCTCACTAGGCATGCCATCGTGTTCTGTCCCTCTGCCCTGGATTCCTGTTTGGGCCTCACCTCTATCAGTATGTCACCCCAAGAGAGCTGGGCCCTTGTCTGTTTCTTTCACCCAATCCCCAGTGCCTAGAAGAGAGCATGGCCCAGAGCTAGTGCTCCATCAATGATGTGAGTGAGTGACAACCAATGAAAATACTGCCCAGGACATATTCTCTCCCTTCTTAAGGAGTTTCAGGGCTGGCTGAGATTTTTGGCCACAAAGACCAAGCCATGAGTTGGGGGCTATAAATGATAATGATCTGGGACTGATATATGTGGCACAGAATTTAGCAAAGCTGACGACGCTGAACCTTGGAGCTCCTCAGCCAGCCTCACCTTGGCAACATCTTGACCAGCCTGGGAGCAGAGGGTTGTCTCCCCCTGATGTGGGACACTCAGGATGCCATTGTCCCCATCCTGCAGGCAGTGCAGGTCTATGCTGTACAGGTCCCCACCTGCAGGAGGTACAGGAGCATCCTGGGTATCTTCCTGGCAGATCCCTGGCCCAACTTAACCCACCCTCCCATCCCAGGCTGAAAACCTGCACCACCCCTCAGGTGGAAGGCGGCAGGAGCCCCATGCAGCTTCTCCCTAAAAACATGAGGCTGGTTTCCATGGGTGTCATTCTGTACCTGTGGAGGCAGGAAGGGCTTTCCTGGAACCTGGCGAAGGTGGCACTGTGTATCATGATGCAATCCTTCCTGGCAGCTGCGGGGCACAAGAGGCCAGTTACAGGAGCCCCCTGACCTGGCCAGCCTCTGCACCGGAGAGGCCAGGGGCAGAAGCTACAGCAGGAAATCTCTCCCACTGAACAAACCGTCCTGCTACTCGCTGGCTTGTGTGTGACCCTGCAGGGCTCTTGTTCTTTCCATGTCCCATGGCTAACAATCCAGGGGAAGGCAAACCATGGCCCAGAAACCAAATCTTGCCTACTGCCTACTCTTATCAATAAAGTTTTATTGGAACACAGCCAAATCCATTTATTTCTATATTTCATGTTTTGAGCAGTTGTGACAGAAACTGTCTGGCCCACTAGCCTAAAATATGCACAACTGGTCATTTATGAAAAAGTTAATGAACTTCTGATATAAATTATCATCTACATCAGTCTTCCCGGAGAGTGGATGAGGTATTATTAATTTCACTGTGGCCGGGTGCAGTGTCTCACGTCTGTAATCCCAGCACCTTGGGAAGCTGAGGTGGGTGGATCCCTTGAGGTCAGGAGTTTCAGACCAGTCTGGCCAACATGTCAAAACCCCATCTCTATCAAAAAGTATAACAATTAGCCAGGTGTGGTGGCGGGCGTTTGTAATCACAGCTATTCAAGAGGCCAAGGCAGGAGAACTGCCTGAATCTGGGAGGTTGCAGTGAGCCGAGATTCTGCCACTCACTGCCCTCCAGCCCAGAAGACAAAGCCAGACTCCATCTCAAACAATAGTAAATACTTATTAGAATATATATTATATATTTACTTTTAATTATATAACTATAATAATTATTATAACCATTATAATCAGTAATAAATATTTCACTGTGACAAGCATAATTAGATTAGTAGTTCTTGACCCTTAACACATAGTTAGAATCTCCTAAAAGATTTTCTAAAATCAAAGCTCTCATGGCTCAGCCCAGATCCATTAAATCCACTCACAATCAGGTGCTGTGATGATTATGCCCATTTTGCAGATGGAAACACGGAGGCTGAGAGAGATTATCTACTTGTCAGGATCACCCAGCTAGTCAGTGCTGGGGCTGGGGTTTGGACCTGGGCAGTCCAATGCCATCGGCTAGGTTTTTACCACTAGGTGAGTGTTTTTCAGGTACACAGTTTGCCCAGGTTCTTCAGTACAACAAGGGGGAGGGTGGCTTGGTCTGTGGGGTGACAAAAGGATGGGGTGGAGGGGCAAGCCCAGGTAACATGAGTCTGGGGAGTCTCCTCATGCAATAAAGCCTGCAATTATGTCATTTTCTTTTTTCCTTTTTTTTTTTTTTTTTTCTGAGATGGAATCTCGCTGTGTAGCCCAGGCTGGAGTGCAGTGGCATGGTCTTGGCTTACTGCAAACTCCGCCTCCCGGGTTCAAGTGATTCTCCTGCCTCAGCCTCCTGAGTAGCTGGGATTATAGCACACACTATCACACCTGGCTAACACTTGTATTTTAGTAGAGACAGGGTTTCACCATGTTAGGCAGGCTGGTCTCGAACTCCTGACCTCAAGATCCACCCACCTCGGCCTCCCAAAGTGCTGAGATTACAGGCATGAGTCACCGTGCCCAGCTTGCAATGATGCTTTTTTTCTAGCTTGACCAAAATGTTGTCATGTTATCATCTGGGCTTTCTGCATGAGGACAAGCACCTGGTCTGTTAGAGCAGGAGACCCCAACCCCCAGCTCACAGACTGGTACGAGTCTGCAGCCTCAGGAACTGGACCATACAGCAGGAGGTGAGAGGAGGACAGGCGAGCATTGTGTCACCTGTGTTTATAGCCATTCCCCGTCACCCGCATCACCACTTGAACTCCGCCTCCTATCAGATCAGCAGCAGCGTTAGATTCTCATAGGAGCACGAACCCTATTGTGAACTGCGCATTTGAGTTCTGGGATCTGGGCTGCATGCTCCTTTTGACAACCTAATGTCTGATGATCTGTCACTGTCGCTCATCATCCCCAGATGGGACCGTCCAGTTGCAGGAAGTAAGTCAATCTGAAATCATTATTTCATGACATATTACAGTGTATATGTCATGAAATAATGATTTCAGATGGTCTTCCTGTGTTTGAATCATCCCAAAACCATGCACCCCACCCTGGTCCATAGAAAAACTGTCTTCCACAAAACCAGTCCCTCGTGCCAAAAAACTTGTGGACCACTGTGTTAGCATGTTCCCTTCTGTATACCCAGGATGGCACAAAGTGGGTGCCCAGTGAGTGGTTGCTAAACAGCTAACAGAAACAGCAGCATAATGTCTGTTTCCAAGTGACACACAGATGGCATGATCTGCATGTGCCAGTCCATTACATGCAGACCCCATCTGCCCCCAGCACTGATGCTGGCTTGCCATTATGGGCCAGGAAAGCCCCTATGCCCCCATCCCTCCCACACCCCTGCCAGACTTTTTAATTTTCAT